ACACACATAAATAACCCAGAGGGTGTCACGGCCCCCTTTGCCCTTCCTCCCTAGCTGTTACCATACACGCTTGTCACGTGACAAGTCACTGCCAGGGGTAGGAGGAGGGTGACAGGTAGAGAAATTGAAGGAGAAATTTGGTATGGAGGAGGAGGAGGAGGAATAGGAAGATGTTAGGGCAATTAAGAAGTGAGGTGGTTGGGCATCATAAGAGAGTGAAGAAGAAGACGAGGTCGGTGTAGGGAGGAAATGGACAGGGAATGTGGAAGAGGAAGAAGTTAGTTGGGGAATTCGATGAAAGGGAGAAATTGAGTTGGTGGTATGAGGGAGGTTAGTGAGGAAGAATGGTAAATGAGTGGGGGAAAGGGAGACTGATGGGGAATAATGACAGTGGGAGGCGAAGAAAAGGAATGTAAGAGAAAGGAAAGATAAATAAGAAAGGGGCGGATGAAAAGGGAAAACGTGTAAGAGGGAAGAAAAGAAAAAGTTAGATGGAGAGTAAGAAGAGTGAAAGAAGAAGGCAATGAGGGAAGAAGAGAATAACGAAAAGATAAACTATAACACTAAGGAAGGAAGGAGAGAGAGAGAGAGAGAGAGAGAGAGAGAGAGAGAGAGAGAGAGAGAGAGAGAGAGAGAGAGAGAGAGAGAGAGAGAGAGAGAGAGAGAGAGAGAGAGAGAATGATACTAAAGATAGGGGTAAAATGTTAATAAAAAAGAAGAAAGCCATGATCGAAGAAGGTCAAATAAAACTCAGAAAGGATGGTGTAAAAAGGAGGGTAGGAAGAAACGAGGGAGGGAGGTAGGGAAGGAGAAGGGAGGGACGTGAAAAGGAGGAGGAAGGTAGGTAGGGTGTGTATACCCTGGTAATAGGTATCCACTTTATTGAACCCTTCCGTTTCCCGCCCTATTTTGGTTTTATTTATGACATCCGCTGTTGAATATGGGCGTCTCCAACACTGACTGACTGAATGCATCGGTCACCTTATTTCTAAGTGTGTGTGTGTGTGTGTGTGTGTGTGTGTGTGTGTGTTTGTAGTAATAAGTAAACGAGGTGTATTTACAGTTAGGTGTATAGTATCAGACCACAGAACCATAGAGAGAGAGAGAGAAAGGGAGGGACCATACTTAACCCTCCCTCCCTCCCTCCCTCAGGTAAACTTCAGGTAACAAGAGCCGGCCCCCCTCACCTAAGGGATTATTCACAAGTGGACATTAACTCATTACCCGTAAGACGCAAATGTAAACATACTTTACTTTAACATCCTTCAATATTTCTCCCTTCTCTCTTGTATTATTTCTCTTCCTTGCATTATTTCCCCTTATTACATTTCTTCTATCCTGTCTCATTTTAATTCTTCACTTCATATTTCCTTGTTATTTCTTCTGCTATTTTTCTGTTTTCCATCAATCCCGTTTTGCCTTCTTCCTTACACCTATTTCATCTCTATCTATCTTCTTCCCTCCCCATATCTTCTCTTCTTTCTGCTTCTTTCCCCATTTCACCCTCTCCCTTTTCTGCATTCTCCCCTTTCCTCGACCCCGACACACCTCCCTTTGACCTATCCCAACCCCTAGACCCCTACCGTGAAAATTGTATGCGTCAGCCTATGGTTGGCTAATCAATAATGTAATAACCTCCCAATTATGGACGAGTTTCAGACTGGGCGACGATCCCAGACTGGGTTAAGTGATCCCAGCTGCTAGACCAGGCTTTCGAGGCTTCCCTGATATTTGAGTAGAAATTTAGGTTCGAAATCTAAGGTAAAGTCTGATTAGTCTCGCGGAAGAACCAACTTCACGTAAAATGAGATTAGACTGGTAGTGAACTGGGGTGAGATTAAGCTCTTGGTAGGACTCGAAATGTGTGGGATTGGTGTTTTAATGAGATTAGGAATTACTTTGAATGTGATAAAGTCATATTAAACAAGGATTAAGTAAGACGCTGTTTAATGGATATAAAAAGGCTTAAATCCTAAGTTAGTTTTATGGATTTTGTAATATTTTTTCCCCCTCAAACTATGACATAAATTACCTTATACATCCAGGAGTTGAGAGAGAATCTTGTGTACATATAGTTGTATGGTGTTGACTGTGTGTGTACGTGTCTGTATACATTAAGGGTATTCATGTTCCTCGCGTGCCTGTTTTGTTGTGTACACATGGCCTCATGTAGCTGGATGCACACGTGTCTGTGTGAGTGAGAGGAGCACGTGTGTACCTCATGCCAGTGTTTGAGTATGTAAATCTGACCCACTCATAAAAAAGGGTACTTCCTAATAATGTAGAGCAGCTGCGGTAAAAAAGTAGGGTACAGAGATGAGGGGTGGGGGGGGGAGGGTCGTATGTGGGAAGGGGAGGGAGAGAGAGACGTATGTGAGACGGAGGGAGATAGAAAAGGGGGGAGTCGTTTGTAGGAGGGAGGAAAGGGAGAGGAGAGGTTCGATAGTTGGAGAGAGGAAAGAGATAGGGTCCTCTTCTGCCCCCTCACATTCACTTTGCCCTCTTCTTCTGTCCCCTCTCTCTTCCTGTTCCCCTTTTCTTTCCCCTGTGTGTTCTCCCTTCCCTTCTCTCTACCACTTTTTCTGTTCCATTTCCCAACTTCCACAGCTTATTTCTCTCATTTTTCCTCTAGTTTATTCTCTCTCTCTCTCTCTCTCTCTCTCTCTCTCTCTCTCTCTCTCTCTCTCTCTCTCTGGTCCCTCACCCCGGGGTCCAGCGCCTATTAATACTCCCTACGATGTCCGGGTGTTTATGGCTTGGTGAGCTCGGGCACGTGGCAGGCCCCTCCCCGCACGCGCGTGTGCTTGCGAGGCCCTGAATGAGAGAGCCCCGTGCGTGTGCTCATGGGCGATACCCCCTCTCCGTACCTCCCTCCGCCCTTCTTCCTTACCTATCCTTATCTTTCCTCCCTCATAATCTCCCCTCTACTTCTCTTCCCTTATCCACAATACTACCAGCTCCTTCTTCTCCCTTATCTACTTCTCCCCTTCCCAACTTTCCCTTTCTCCCCTTTCTTCCTTCTTTATCCATCCCTCTCTTCCCTCCTTCATCCTCCCCTTCCATTCTCTTCCCTTATCAACAATGCCCCCTGTTACTTCCTCTCCCCTACTGTTTACTCCTCTTCCCATCCTCCCCTTTAATCCCCCTCTCCATCCGTCCCCTATCTTACCTACACCTCTCTCTCTCTCTCTCTCTCTCTCTCTCTCTCTCTCTCTCTCTCTCTCTCTCTCTCCCTACTTACACTCTTCCTATCCCCCCTACACCACATCCCTCCTCTTCCTTTTCCTCTCCCTCTCCGCCCCTGGTGTAACTTTAACCAACTGCTTCCAGTGGGTGTGGTTAATGACTGGCTGCAGATGGCGTTTACCTCTTCCGTTATTTTCTCTCCCTCTCCCTCCCTTCTATCCTTCATTCTCCCTTTACCCCCTTTGTCTTTTATTCTCTCTATTCTCTCTTAGCATCCTACCTCTCTCCCTCTCTCCCGCCTTCTCTCCCTTTATTCTTCATTTGCTTCCATATTCCACCCACTCTCCCTTGATTTCCTCTCCTTATTTCACCCTTCTTCTACTCTTCATTTTCCTTCCTATCTCACTCTCAAATTACCTCTCTTCTCATTATTTCACAAACCCCTTTTCCATCACCTCTCTCTCTCTCTCTCTCTCTCTCTCTCTCTCTCTCTCTCTCTCTCTCTCTCTCTCTCTCTCTCTCTCTCTCTCTCTCTCTCTCTCTCTCTCCTTCCCTCTGCTTCCTTCTAGTTTCTCCTCACTCCATAACCTCTCCTCCATCGTCGCTTCCCTCCCCATCTCCCTATTTTATCGCCCTTCGTATTCCTTTTGTCTTTATTGTACTTATCTGCTACTTATTTTGGTCATGATTATCAACATAAACGCGTTACACTTCAGCGAGACCTCAACTGGGTTAGTCATTGAGGTGACATATCGAACAATATAACTCAGTATGGATCCGTCCGATGCCTGTATATAAACTGTATTTTTTACCTTTAATTAAGTATACATTTTTATATGAGGTAATTCATACGCGTCAGGAGTCTGGAACGATGTTGTATGTGTTATGAAGTTTGTTGTTTGTGTGATTTTTTTATATATATAGTGGTGGTGTATGATGGAGTGAGGGGGTTTTAGCGTATGGTGATGGAGTGTTGTGGTACAATGTATGGTGGTGGGGTGTTGTGGTACAGTGTATGGTGGTGGGGTGTTGTGGTATAGTGTATGGTGGTGGGGTGTTGTGGTACAGTGTATGGTGGTGGAGTGTTGTGGTATAGTGTATGGTGGTGGGGTGTTGTGGTACAGTGTATGGTGGTGGGGTGTTGTGGTACAGTGTATGGTGGTGGAATGTTTGGTATAGTGTATGGTGGTGGGGTGTTGTGGTACAGTGTATGGTGGTGGAGTGTTGTGGTACAGTGTATGGTGGCGGGGTGTTGTGGTACAGTGTATGGTGGCGGGGTGTTGTGGTACAGTGTATGGTGGCGGGGTGTTGTGGTACAGTGTATGGTGGCGGGGTGTTGTGGTACAGTGTATGGTGGCGGGGTGTTGTGGTACAGTGTATAGTGGTGGAGTGTTGTGGTACAATGTATAGTGGTGGAGTGTTGTGGTACAATGTATGGTGGTGGGGTGTTGTGGTACAGTGTATAGTGGTGGAATGTTTTAGTACAGTGTATGGTGGTTGAGAGTTGTGGTTCATGCTCTAGTGTTTGGCTTCTGCGTTGATTGAAGACTCATTTTGGTTGGTATGCTGCATGATATAGGTAATAGTGTAAGGTGTGATTTAGATTGTATTAGTATATATTGTTGAATACAGGAGCTGTCGAGTTGGTTTTATAGGATAGTTTTGTATTTTAATTTGATAATGTTTATAAATGTTAGCGTAAGGAGTGTTGTATAGGATATATATTTAAGTATTAGTGTAAGAAGTGTTCCAGAGTGTGTGCTGGAGTAACCTCGTGTGTTATAGTGAGTAACCCTTGTTTCTCCTTCTTCAGGTTGGTTGCGAGCTGGCCGGCGGGCTGCCTGACGCCCCCCCTCAACACACCACCGTGGCTGCCAACTCGGCCCCCCTGGCGGCCTACCCGCCCGCCCCAGATATGTCCCACATGTCCTCCTACTACAACGCCTATCCGGACTACCGGCCGCCCCACCCGCCCGATGAATACCCGGGCGCGCCGGGCGGCCAAGGCGGAGGCGGGGGCGGCGGGGGGCACTGCGGCCAGGAGTACGACCCCCGAATGCCCCCGACGCACCCGTACTACACCCAGCAAGGCTACCCGCGCTACCCGCCCTACGACAGACTCATGAACAATTACTACAACGCGCAGACACCTCAGCACCCGCACACTCCGCACGGCATGCAGCCACATGACGCCCACGACTACCGCGACCCCTCGCCCGCCGCACCCACCTGCATGGGTCAGCAGGCCTCCCCGCCCGTACAGCAGTATCCCTCCTGCAAGATGGCGGGGCAGGGGCCACCTCAGCAACCCCAGCAGCCACAGCAACAGCAGCCACAGCAACAGCCCCCGGGCATGGACCCCAACGGCGGCCCTCCCCAAGACACCTCTCTCCATATGGCCGCGCAGGACCACCAAGGCTGGGCAACACAACAACAACAACAACCCCAGCAGCAACAAAATGCATCCTCGGCCCTCCCCTCTCCCCTATACCCATGGATGAGAAGTCAGTTCGGTAAGTAAAAACTCATTTTTTTCTTACCTTCCTTCCTGTAAAACCTTTCTCTCATTTAAATGACTCACTCATTTGTTGCTTCTCCCCCTTTTCACTTTCGATTGAAATATTGTAATTCGATGTCTTACGTCTTGATTATGCAATCTCCGGGTTTGTGTTTTTTCCTATCTGATGAGAAAACATCCCCGTGCGATAACTTCGACCTGCCCGCGACTCTTAAGCATCACGTACAGGGTTGTCTATAACTTATGGTGGGACTCTGAGTCGTGGAGGGAACGCTAGAATTTGTTTCTATAGACTCAAACCAAACTTACTCGAGTGCAAATTTATTCAGATCAGTAATGGGAGACAAAGATGAACTCAAAGGGCTTGGTTCATCTATCACAAGAAAATGGGGAGGAATTACGGTATCACCATTTTGAGCTTCGGGACCTCAGCTCATAGATGAAACTTTAAGGACATGAAATCATACACGCCAGGGTCAAAGGAACTCCTATTGTTTTCATTCACCTCTTGGAAGACGACCTAAGGAGCTGCCTTGTGAAGTAACAGGAAGAGGCGCTCTCTCTCTCTCTCTCTCTCTCTCTCTCTCTCTCTCTCTCTCTCTCTCTCTCTCTCTCTCTCAGGATATGGAAATGAGGACGTTTCCATACAACAACAAAATTATAACGAAAATAATGCTTTTTTTGTGTGCATAGAACGGGAAAAATAAGACATCTTCCGTACAGCACACAGCCGATGATAAATACTCGCTAATATCGTAAGTTAATCCATCGCCATAAGTGCACAGAGCGAATGGTTTAAAGAAATCGTAAGTTTATAATCCTAAACGAAATATTTGCGTTTTTGTTGTCAGGTTAAACTCACAAACTCTACGAGGAAAAACTATATTTAAGTGTAAGACTCACAAACAAATGTATGAAAACGTAGAGATGTTTATGTATAACAAAGAGAATACATATGTGTGGGATGTATGGATGGGGGAGAGGATAGAGGACGGGGTAGGAGATGGAGAAGGGAGGGTTCTTGTTGGATATCGGAGGAGGGTAGGGGAGGGAAAAGCAGAGCAGTGGATGGATGGACAGGGGGGATGAAAGGGCAGGGGAGTGGGTGAAAGAACAGGGGAAGGAAGGGCTGGGGATGGGAGGGAAGGGCAGGAACAGGGTAAGGGAAGGGCAAGGGAGGGCGAGGATAAGCACGGGAGGGGAGGACAGGTGGGTGTGTGTGTGTGTGTACCGTTGGCTCTGGAGTGACGCAACAGGCTTCCCTCTCCTGCGGCGGATGATGCCCAGGGATATAGGGGAGTGGGTCCTACCTCGTGCCACAGAACACTGTAAACAGACGTGATGGAGTTGATATCGACCTGACCTTCACGTTATTGTGAAGTTATTTATTAAACTACGTAACAATTATTATTATCTCTAAATAGTAAAATAGGATAAATAAAATGAATGAAAATAAGAAAAACTTACCACAAATATCAATAATAAACCATAGAAAAGGAGAGTAAAAAACAAACAACAAAAACAAACGCTTCTTCAACACACGCTAAAAGAGGAAAGAAATAAAGTTAAAAAAGTTGTAGGGTCGGCCAACAGGTCGTCGGGCACACAAACCCTTAATCCAGCTGTGGTCAGTGGCGTGGCGTTTATGGCGTGTCGTAAACTGTATACGCTGCCTACCACGCCTGCCTCCCCCGCGCCCACGTGTATGTGTGTGTGTCGGAGTAGGGTGAGGAGTTTTGTATGTGTGTGTGTGTGTGTGTGTGTGTGTGTGTGTGTGTGTGTGTGTGTGTGTGTGTGTGTGCTTTGGGACTTGGCTGTGAGAAAATGTTATTACTTCTATAACTTGTTGCTATGTTTATTTACATTTCTTACTGCCTGCTGTTATCTCTACCTCCATATTCATACATATATATTCCATTCCCGTTTCTCTCTTTAATGTTATATCACCCATCCCAGTACCTCCCATCCCTACCGTGTCAAAGGCCTCAACAGACTCATTAAATAAAACAATCCATGGAATCCCAACCCACAACCCTCAGTAAACAATGGGTTCAAAATCCCCTTCCCCCATCCACCAGACGAAGTTGTCGACGAAGAATATAAAGAAGAAAGAAGAAGACTAAGAAAAAAAAAGAGAAAGGATGGCAGAAGCTTCCTCAGTGCGGTTCTTTACAATAGGTCTATAGATCCTTTGCGGCTACCTCCTGTCCCGTCGGTCCTCCGGAAGGTCCACCGAACTTAATTAAGGGATGGACCAGATTGGGGACAGTGACAAGACAACCAACCGTTCGTTCCTACGTCTGTCTGTCGGTGTATCTGGCTGTGTTCGTGGTCCTGTTTAGTCTGAGAGCAGTTTACCTTTTGCTGTGTGCTTGTGAAGGTGGGTGACTGTGTAAAGAGTCGACCTATCTTTTTACTTAACTGTCCTAGCAAAATAATCTCTCCCTAGATCTGGCAAGTGATGTGACAACGGTACTTGGATGGGTTTGTTGACTTTCTTCCTCTCCTCCTAAGTCAAACTCTTAGTACTATGTGTTTGGGTGGGTGGTTGATGGTGTAGATATGAGCAAAGTTCCTCCTGTTATGACTTTTATTTAGTCAGGTTATGAGAAGTGATTGTGTTGAATGAGGGAAGTATTTTACGAGTGTATTTGTGTGAGTGTTTATATATTCATGTGTTTTTGCTCATAGGTATGTCTCTGTTTGTGTATGTGTATTCATGTCTTTTTTGTACCGTGTATTTATGTATGTGTGCATACGTTCGTTTGAGTGTAAGTCTTGTGTATAAGTGTGTGTGTGTGTGTGTGTGTGTGTGTGTGTGTGTGTGTGTGTGTGTACCTTTTGTATTATGACAGTGATATTATAGAAATCGTTGTATTGAAAATCGTGAATAACAATTACCTCTGTTTTTGTGTGCCTGTCTGTCAAGCCTTGCCTTCGACATGTAGAAGAACTGTCTTTTGTTACCAATGTTTTCACCATGTTTATAATACGTGTAAGTAAAGTGTGCTACAGGAATCATGTACTATAGGGTGTACCAGAAAAAAATCCCTGCCTCCCTCTCTCCCTGCCTGCTCCCTGCTTCCCTCCCAGCCTGCTCCCTGCCACCCTCCCTCCTTGCCTGCTCCCTGAGACACTGTGAGTTGGAGAGAGGGAGGGAGGGAAGCAGGGAGCAGGCAAGGAGAGAGGGAGGCAGGGTTATTTTTCTGGAATACCCTCTACATTATATATTCCCCTTACGAAGACAATTCCTTCATCAATTTCTGTGTACTCTGTGATGATTGTAAGATAGAAAAGGAGAGATTATATTAAAAGAAGGAATAAGATAAAAGTAAAGACAGGGGGGGACGAGGAAGGGTGAGAGAGGGGGGGGGGGGGGTAAGAGGAGCGTGCCAAATCCTGTCATTAAGAAGGTGAAGAAACTGTCAAGTGTCAAGGAGAGGTGTCACACTGTAAGCACCTTGTTTTGTTAATTGTTTCTCCTGTACAATTAGTTTCCATCTAACCTAACCTAACCTAACTTAACCAACCCAACTTCACCTCACCTCACCTCACCTCACCTAACTTAACCTTAGACCTAATGGAATTCTGTCCACTATATCATTTTATAAGAGGAATTTGTCCACTGGAAGGAAAAACGGAATAGACGATGAACAACGAAGGACAATCACCATAAATCAAGGAATAAATTCGATCAATTATTATTTTAACGTGTTTGGGATTTTTTTTTTATTTGTGTTGTGTTTTATTTTGTGTTCATTTAAAGTTTGGAAAGTGTTTGATATGATATGATATGGGTAAAAAAAAATCATATATAAAACCTAACGAAATGGATCAGTGTTAATGAAAATATGGCACTGGCTCCATGATGCTTACACACACACACACACACACACACACACACACACACACACACACACACACACACACACACACACACACACACACACACACACACAGTAAAAACGCATTTCGGTTACCCAAACGAATATAATAAATTGATAATCCAAATATATATTGGGAATAGTATAAAAAAGCTAAACAAATATATGGATAAATATTGGGGAGATAAATGGTCAACTGCATCCACGCCATATGCCTTTGGACTGGAAACAAACGCTCTCTCTCTCCCACCACACTCTCTCTCTCTCTCTCCTGCTTCTATGCACACGAACCTTTCTTCCTCTCTTCCACTCACCCAATTTCCTTTCCATCCTCTCTCCCTCCTACCTAATCTCACTCTTTCCCTCCAACGCTCCTTTCCCTCGACCCTCCAGCCATTCCATTCCTTACTACCCCCTCCTTTCTCTCCCTCCCTCCCTCTTCCATCCTCCCCTCCATCCCTTCATCTCTCTCCCTCCAGTAATAGTGAATGAATCATCAAAATTTTCCTCCCTGTCAACCAATCCACTGGTAATAACAACCTAATAAGAGTAGTGGCGAGGTAAACGACTGGTGTTTCCCCTAACGAGGTGTAACGAGCTGGTAGCGGCAGTCGGTGAGAGTTAAGAGAGAGGGGGAAGGGTGAGAGTCAGGATGATGGGGGAGGGTGAGAGGCAGGGAGGATAGGAAAGGTGGAAATCAGGAGGAAAGGGAAGGGTGAAAGGCAGGGAGAATAGGAAGGGTGAGAGGCAGGAGGAATAGGAAGGGTGAGCGTCAAAAGTGAAAAGGGAAGGGTGATGAGGAAGGGGGTAAGGATGTGAGTTAAGGGGAAGGGGAAATGGTAAAAGTCAGGGGGAGGGGGAGTAAAGGGCAAGTGTAAGGGTGAGACCCAAGGGGAAGGGAGGAATGAGAGGGTCAAGGTTAGGGGGGAGGGAGGAAGGAGAAGCAAAGAAGTTTATTGAAAGCGCGTAGACGTCACCTCCCTCCCCCCTTTGCACCTAAACACTCCTTTGGGACGGTCTGCAATGTTTCACTCCGCCTACTGGTTGGAGGAGGAGTTGGTGAGGAGGAGAGGGAGAAGTTAAAGAAAGGAGACGGGTTCAAGTGTGTAGG